CTTGGTGCTATCCTCGCGGCAATGAGTGATTTCTTGCTCTGTCTGATGAGACTGGTTTAGTTCTCACAGAAATGGATTAGTTTCCCCAAGAGGGGGTTTCTATAAAGCCAGGACACCCCTCTGGTCTGGTCGCTCTTCACACATGCTTGCTTCCCCTTTGACCTTCTCCTCCATGTTTCAATGCAGCACAAAAGCCCCACCAGAGACCAATCTGGAGCTAAAAAAAACCCACAAGCTAAATAAAACTTTTTCCTTTATAAATTACCCAGCCCCAGGTATTCAGTTATAGCAACACAAAACAGATTCAGACAAGAAGGAAGCATTATTTCCAATGCATAATGGTTAGAAAGACTGAGGTCCCGAGAAATTTAGTAACCTGCCCCGAGTTACTCAGGCACTGAAATTTGAATGCAGGACACCTTACATCAGCTTTTCTCACTAAAGAAGGCTGCTCTAACCACCAAGAGAAAGAAAACCTAGTGTTTCTCATTGCAGATAGTTCTGATTGCTCTTTACTTTCTCATCTATTTCATATTATGATAATGTTTTCCTGGAATTGGATGATATAATACTAGAAATTGAAGATGTTTATTCGCTACAAAGATTATATATGCAGGCTTCCTGTCATAATCAAGGGAAGTTGCTCACATCATTTATGATTTCCAGTCTTCTCTGTATATGATAATGCTTATTTTAGGAAATCTGTTTTTACTAAGCCTGCTGATCTTCAAAAGGAAAACAGGCAGAGGCGAGGACTGTGATATACTCTTTTGATATTTATCGAGTCTAGAGTCTACCTTAAATTCGTTTGCTGGGAAGCACTGCATGTGATGAATGATACAGTATTTAAATGATGCTGTGGATGTTTTTCCCTAATAATAAAGAAAATTACTCCAACACAACTATTTTGTTTCATTTCTTCATACAAAATTTAAGTTTGAATTCCATCTTGGCCCTAAAATTTTAAATTTCCATAACAAGTTTTGTGCATTATTAAATTTTATACACCACTGCATTATGCTTTTGAAACTGATTGTACAATCTAATTAATTCAGAATATTAACTATAATTTCCATAAAATGAATAAGATGTTGTTGATCTGGGTGAGATAGAGGGCTGCAATAATCTTTTCCCCTCTCCCCAACATCCCAATTGTGTACATATATGAAAAACCACTTCTATGAAAGTCCCCCATCCGGTAACTGCAATTTGGAGGAGCACAGCCAGGACCAAAAGTTAATTTAAAATACCTCCAAATAGACAAAATAACTGCACTTCATTCCTAGGCAAACCCTTCCAGCTCTTCATCAGACGTTAGAACCCCACCTTTTTTAAGCCAGGGTTTCACAAGAGTCGTGCAATTTCTATATCCAAAGCAGATTCACGATGAAATTAAAAGGTTAATGAGGGTAAAGTGGATGCCTAGAAACTGTCTCCCTGAGAAAAGCAAGTGTCTATTGACAGTCTAACAATGGAGAGAGCAAGCCTACCAAAAGTGGATACAGGATGGTTCAGAGAGCACGGCCGACTAGGGACAATTTATCTTAGGAGAAATAACCCTAAGTATGTCATCCGATCCTGAAGGCCTTGTCGTACTAGGATACAAAAAGTCATCAGTGCTTACAGTGACTTGGAAACATCAAGGAATCATTAAATTCATTTTTTCCCTCTGCTTAAGAAGCTAGCAAAGTGTGCAGTGTATTTTGGCAGACTTTCCGTTAAAAACATTAAAATGTTTTAAATCTTAAAGAGCTGTTTCAATTATTTGGAAAATTGACTTACTGGAATATCACATTTCCTCATAATGTGAAATAAGTGAGATGTCATTATGCATTATAATTTAATCCTCTTTCTTCTATTAAAAAATAAGCCATATAAACCACATTGCTGTCAGATATTCCAGATGTTTCAAAACCTCACTAGCCTCTGAATACAAATGAGGTCAAATTTTCTTCAATAGTCCAAAAGTTCCTGTTCCCAGTGCCTGTCCGCATCACTGCGGGACATAGGCACACCTCATTCAAAGCTGTCCTTTCATGTTCTACTCTGCACAGGGGGGTCATCTGCCATTCCTGCCAGCCAGAAGAAGGCTACCTCCTAGGGCAGTCACAGCCACAAACCCCTGGGCATACCAAACAGTTTCTGGGCCCCTGGTGATCTTGCTATGCTGAGTATTCAGCTGAGTTGGGGAGAGAGCATTTCACTGTCACTGTGTTGAAATCTGTCTCCTGTCCCAGAGACAGGAGAGGCTTGTGCCTCAAGTCCCACCAATGACCTTAAGGAAACTACTCTTTCAACTTTGAATTGTTCCTTCCCTCCCTTGAAGTCAGTTGGAGAAAAGATATCATTCTTAACTCTTTCTTTTCTCTTTTCTAGGTACCCACACCACACCTTGTTCTCAAGTACTCCTCCCAAACATGCATGGCAATGAACAGATTCCTGGGGCTGCTAGCTGGTCAAAAGACACACTCAACTAGAATCTGGGTCTAGCATTCAGCTAGAGCATCAAGACCCATAATATGTATTTTGACATACTTAAGTTCTTTTTTTTCTTTTTGAGACAGGTTCTCACTCTATCACCCAGGCTGGAGTGCAATGGCGTGATCTTGCTCACTGCACCTCTGCCTCCCAGGTTCAAGCAATTCTTCTGCCTCAGCCTCCTGAGTAGCTGGGATTACTGGCGGACACCACCACGCCCCGCTAATTTTGTATTTTTAGTAGTGACGAGGTTTTGCCATGCTGGCCAGGCTGCTCTCGAACTCCCAACCTCAAGTGATCTGCCTGCCTCAGTCTCCCAAAGTGCTGGGATTATAGGTGTGAGCCACCATACCCAGCCTCTTCTTTTCTTCACAACTATCTAAACAATCTTTGGGCCACATAAGTGGAAGTTAACCTCTTTTCCTATTTCCTCTCTTTATTATATATTTAGAGTAATTTCATTCTACACCTCCCAGACTCAACTCTGTTTCACCTTTCCATATCCAAAAATGTATCAGGTGCCCTGGTAAAGTAAAAGCCATTCATGCTGGGTTCCACATTTTAGCAACAAAGACTAATGAGGATTTAAATTTTCTGTTTTTCCTTTCTTCCTTCTTGTTTTTCCCATTCCCTACTAGAGCCTATAAAGTAGAAGGTACTAATTAGAGATATATATTTTGCCACTTATAAAACTTATTCTAGAATTATTCCTACTTTCAGAGTAGAAGACTTTATACACACAAGCACACACAAACACATACACATGCAGGGTCTTTTAAAAGTTCACGAAAAATGTGTATTATGAAAAAACTATGCATGGCTTTAAAAAAAAGTTTGTACCAAAATAATCTATATTAACTTGTTATAACATGTCTAAATGGGATCTAGTTCGAGGCACTAGAAGGATAAGATATCAGTATGAAATTAGCCCCTATCAGAGCAACAATTTAGAATTCTGCTAAAATTGAAGCAAGAACAAACATCAAATTTATGGTGAAGCTTGGGTGGAAGAATGGTGAAATCATTGATGCTTTATGAAAAGTTTAGGGGAGAAATGGCTGAAAGAAACCAGTAGTTTACAAGTGGAGAACTTCTTTTGGTAAGGGATGAGAGCATGTTGAAAAGGAATGCAGTGGCAGATCAGCCACATCAATTTGTAAGGAAAAAAATTCATTTTATTTCTTCTCTCATTGAACAGGACCAATAACTCACAGCACAAACAGTATCCAACACCACAGACATCTCAACAGGTTCAGTTTACACAATTCTCACTGAAAAATTAAAGTTGAACAAACTTTCCACTGAATAGGTGACAGAACCATTGCGCCCAATTCAGCTGCAGACAAGAACAGAGCTTTCAATGGAAATTTTATCTTGTTTCTTTTCAAGTCTAGACCTACGAATCAATGGAAATTTTAAACAAGTAGGATTAAGATCTTGAAGTATTTCTTCGAAGAATTATGTCATGAAATGAAACATGGCTTTACCAGTGCAATCCTGAAGACAAAGCACAATACCAAAAGGTGGAAGTGGTTCATTCAAAGCAGAAGCAGAGGCAGGCTGGAGTGGCTCATGCCTGTAATCCCAGCACTGCAGGAGGTAAGGCAGGGGGATCACTTGATGACAGGAGTTTGAGACCAGCCTGGCCAATATGGTGAAACCTCATTTCTACTAAAAATACAAAAATTAGCCAGGTGTGGTGGCTCAAGCCTGTAGTCCCAGCTACTCAGGAGGGTGAGGCAGGAAAATCGCTTGAGCATGGGAAGCAGAGGTTGCAGTGAGCCGAGATTGCACCACTGCTCTCCAGCCTGGGCAACAGAGCAAGATTCCATTTTAAAAAGAAAAAAAGCAAAGGCGGACCAGTCAAGAGCAAAGGTCATGGCAATAGCTTTTGGGGATGCTCGAGGCATTTTGCTTGTTGACTTCCTGGATGGCCACAGAACGATAATATCTGCTTATCATGACAGTGTTTGGAGAAAGTTATCCAAAGCTTTAGCAGAAAAACACCCAGGAAAGCTTCACCAGGGAGTCCTTCTCCACCACAGCCAATGCTCCTGCTCATTTCTCTCATCAAGCAAGGACAATTTTGCCAGAGTTTCACTGGGAAATCATTAGGTATCCACCTTACCATCCTGATGTGGCTGCTTCTGACTTCTTTTTGTTTCTTAATCTTAAAAAAAAATCTTTAAAGGGCATCCATTTTTCTTCATTTAATTATGTAAAAAAAAAAAGACTGCTTTGATGGTTAAATTTCTAGGATCTTCAGTTCTTTATGGAATGACTAAATGGCAGGTATCATTTTAAAAAGTGTCTTGAACTTAATGGAGCTTATGTTGAGAAGTGAAGGTTATATTTATATTTTTATCTTTTTCTTTAATTCCATTATTCCACGAACTTTTTGAAGTCCTCTTGTGTGTGTGTGTGTGTGTGTGTGTGTGTGTGTGTGTGTATACTTATGCATGTATATGCATATATATGCATAAGTGTGTGTGTGTTTGTGACACAGTTTTAAATTTATTTTTAGGCCTGGTACTGTGGTTCACGCCTATAATCCCAGCACTTTGGAGGCTGAGGCGGGTGGATCACCTGAGGTCAGAAGTTCAAGACCAGCCTGACCAACATGGTAAAACCCTGTCTTTACTAAAAATACAAACATTGTGATGGCACATGCCTGTAATCCAACTACTCGGGAAGTTGAGACTGGAGAATCACTTGAACCCAGGAGGCGGAGATTGTGGTGACCAGTGAGCTGAGATGATGCCACTGCACTCACGCCTGGGCAACAGGGCAAGACTCTGTCTCAAAAATAAAAAATAATAATAATAAATAAATTAATTTACTTATTTATTTATTTATAAACTAGTTCCCATACTGAATTCAGTTAGCATCATTTTTAATGTAATTCTCCTATGATTTTCAGGTATACAATCATGTTATTTTCCCACAACGATAATTCAGAAGAGACAGTATTTAAAGGAAAAGCTATATTCTTTTTAAAAGGTGATGAAAACTTTGTGGCTTTGAAGGCTGCATACTACCCATCTTGCATTTTGATGTAAGTTCATAAAAAGATAAGAAAAACCTCCACTTTGCTACTTCCCTAATGGGTCTAGGTATTCATATTTATTGGCTACAAAGCAGTCTTAATTTTCTTCTGAGTTTATACCATTTTTATGATGAGAGAAAATATGAAGACATTTTTATTTAGAAAAAAATGAGAGGGTGGGAGGCTATAAACTTTTTATTTTATTTTTTTATATTGGCTCTTACATAAAAAGATTGCTTACCACTGGTTTTGAATTCAAAGATTAACTATATCCATTTGCATTTTTAAAAACACATCTGCTTAAGAATGTCTTCCCTTAATCTTTAAGAACCCCCACATATTGAACAGATGCTTCTAGGCCTTAGGATTTCCTATCAGTTGCTAGAGTCACAACAGACCATTGCTCTTGGAGAAGGTAAAAAGTTTTGCTACAAAAATGGGCTACCCCAAGAGCAAGGTTTGTCAATGTAACTGCCGCAAACAGATTTTTAACTGAGTATGTTAATGATTTTTACCTACTTTATATAGTTGTGCCCTCAAATTTTTCTTAATTAAATGGCTGTGCATTCTAAAGATTTTAAAAAGTATGTGCGGATAATAAACTTGACAGAGGGGAGGTAGATGGCTGAGGAATAGTGATGGGGGCAGATGAAAGCTGCCAAGGTTATAGTTTCAAAAGAAGTTCTAATCTTTGAGGGGGAAATAGCAGAAGTATCCAGATTGAGCACGAAAGTCTTCTAATTGAGATGCTCAGAACCCTGACACAGATCACTCTGAAAAGCGTCACATATACATTCCCAGAGGGATTTGCATAAATCTCATCTGCATGATCAAGCAGTGTGCATGCATAATATGACAATGTCTGATCTTAGCACAGAGACTGAAGCATGTTATTTTAAGTCATAGCATTGTTCCCTTACTGAACGTCATCCACACGGCATTAGCAGCTTTTGAGTTATTGCTCCCTTGAAATTTTCTAATTGGTTTAAATAAAATGTCTCAACACATCATTTGGTAAAGGAGGCGAATCTTTTTCTTTTTTTTTTTTTTTGAGATGGAGTTTTGCTCTTGCTGCTCAGGCTGGAGTGCAATGGCCTGGTCTTGGCTTACTGCAATCTCTGCCTCTTGGGTTCAAGTGATTTTTCTGTCTCAGCTTCCCAAGTAGCTGGGATTACAAGCATCTGCCACCACGCCTGGCTAAGTTTTGTATTTTTAGTAGAGACAGGGTTTTACCATGTTGGTCAGTCTGGTCTCAAACTCCTGAACTTAGGCAATCTGCTCACCTCAGTCTCCCAAAGTGCTGGGATTACAGGTGTGAGCCACCGTACCTGGCCAAGACAGGGTCTCACACTGTCACCCAGTCTGGAGTGCACTGGAGGGATCTCAACTCACTTCAACCTCCTCCACCTCCCGGTTTCAGTGGATCCTCTTACCTCAGCCTTCTGAGTAGCTGGCACTACAGCCTCATGCCACCATGACTGGCTAACTTTTAGAATTTTTTTGTAGAGACCAAGTCTCACCATGTTGCTCAGGCTGGTCTCAAACTCCTGGGCTTAAGCGATCCACCTTCCCCTGTCTCCCAGGGTGCTGGAACTATAGGCAAGAGCACAGCATCCAGGCCTGGAGGCAAGTCTCACAGAGGGAGGACTTAGGCTCCAGCTCTTATGTTTGCTTTGAAAGAAGACAGTGATTAAAGTTAAGTGCAGGTCTTTATTTCTTGCACTAAAGAAATATTGTTTCTGACTGAAAGTGTTTTCTGTCTCTTAAGGTTTATCAATCTTTTGGTAAAATAGAAAGTGAGTCAAAATTCCTAGAGTACTCACCATAAACCAGTTTTTCAGTGTTAGAAACTCACATTTATAGAGTACAGCTTATGAATCATAGTTTTTGCTTTTCTTCTTTTTTTTTTTTTGAGACAGAGTCTCACTCAACCACCCAGGCTGGAGTGCAGTGGCACAATCTCGGCTCACTGTAACCTTCCCCTCCCGGGTTCAAGCAATTCTCCTGCCTCACCCTCCCGAGTAGCTGGGACTGCAGGCACCCACCAACACACCCAGCTAATTTTTGTATTTTTAGTAGAGATGGGATTTCACCATGTTGGCCAGGCCGGTCTTGAACTACTGATGTCAGGTGATCTACCCTCCTCGGCCTCCCAAAGTGCTGGGATTACAGGCGTTAAGTCACCACACCCATCCCTTTTTATTTTTTTGAGATGGAGTCTGTATCACCCAGGCTGGAGTGCAGTGGTGTGGTGCACTATCAGCTCACTGCAACCTCTGCCTCCTCAGTTCAAGCAATTCTCTGCCTCAGCCTCCCGAGTAGGTGGGATTACATATGCCCATCACCACTCCTGGCTAATTTTTTTTTTTTTTTCATATTTTTAGTAGAGATGGGGTTTCACCCTATTGTCCAGGCTGGTCTTGAACTCCTGACCTCATGATCCACCCACCTTAGCCTCCCAAAGGCCTGGGATTATAGGCGTGAGCCACCACGCCGGGCCTACATTTCAATTTTTTAACAACCCTAAAAGGAGATTGGTTATACTGCCCACTTCATGGATGAGGAAACAGACTCAGAGAGGTTGAATGACAGGCCAACATTCACACATTAAAAGGTGAAGCCAGGCTTCAAATTCAAATTCAAGGCACCAGGTCTCCATGACAGTTTTCTAGGCAGTCCAAGGTAGTCCTATTTCTGTATTTTGAAATTGCTTTAGAAAAAAATAATAAATTGCTTTCATAGTGCATATTCACCTAAGAAAAGGCTGGGTGCCAAATCTCTTCACATGTGCTGTTAGAGTAACAATTATAGGTGGTATAATAACAAGATGCAAGTCACCATCAGCACTTCATATAGTCTAAACAAAATCTCTGTAATCCCAGCAGCTCGGGAGGCTGAGGCAGGAGAATCGCCTGAATCCAGGAGGGAAATGCAGCCTGGTAGACAGAGCAAGACTCCACCTCAAAAATAAAAAAATTAAAAATAGTAAACATATCTGCACAAATTTTTTCTGTAACAATAGCTAATGTAATAGTAATAACATCTTAAGTTTGTATGACATAGAACAATTTGCAAAGTGCTTTCACATATTATCTCCATATATTGTAGATTATTTTGACCTGGACTCATATGTGGATTTCAACTTGAGTGCCAACTCCAGTGACTAGTAATGGCTGCCTGGAATTCTGTCCTGAAGAGGATTTTGAAGATCATTATATGACCAGTGAGAATCAGGGCCATGAATGATTAGTCACATCTGCCATGTCAAAGGAGTTAGGACTGATGGTACATCTGTCAAATGTTTGCTGTCTCTTATCTATTCCAGTCCACTCTTTATACAAGTGAGTAAATGACTTGTGTATTGGTCACACAATAAATGACTAAGCTGAGCCCCAAACTCAGGTTTCCTTTCATCTGTGGTCATTCCTATTAAACTGTGTTATATATGGAGACATGTTAATACTCTGAAGGTTGGTATTAAAATGAATTGGAATCGACTATAAAGTTTTGAGCTGAATAATGTTTAATCTGAAACAAAATGAGATGTTTTCTACAGTAAAATGCAAATAAAGTTTGCATTTTATTTGAATATTCATGTAGCTCAGCCAGGCAGGCATTATGGAGGGTATATGTTACACAGATGGGGCTAAAGAAATGCTGGGCTATCTTCAGCTGTGTGCTAACTGTTAATAAGATCTGGAAGGTCTAAGAAGCTCAAAACTCTATTTTAAAGGCCAAGAACTTTGAATAGTGCCAGTGTGGCATCAATATGACATGAGACATCACATCAAGGCTTCAGGCTGATACAGCAATAATTGTGTCTAAACTTTTAGTTAATTTAGAGTCTACTGCCTAAGACAGAAGCACATCCAGGCTTCTTGAAGAATTTTACTAGTGCAGAGTCTATGCAACTTAGTATAAAATAGTAAGAGAAAATTAGAAACTATGCAAATGCAAGCAGTGACCTATAGATGGCTTTTGGGAATGATAGTAAAATCCATCAGGTTGTTAAGGCTTATTCAGAGTAAAAACCATTACAAAGAGTTTTACAGGCTGTAGAATCTTTGCAATGAGACTTATAAAGAATAGCTATACGGCAGAGAGATTGTACTGTCCCCAGTGTAGGTCAGGGGTTCAGATACTGTGGCCACACTCTCCTCGGTCAGCAGTGTTGTCTTTGAATACAAAAGACAAGAAGGTACACATTATGTAGTCAGCTGTGGCCATCAAAGGCCAAACAGCTTTTTCTTCCAGCTGGAGCCATCTGCCTGACTACAAAATACCCAGGACCCAGGGCAGTCTGGTGGCAGGATACCCCACCCCACTACTTAGCCCGAGTCACCTCTGAGAGAGCAGACAGGGATTTCTTACAGCTTTACACACTGCCTTTGTTGGTTGTTTCCAAGGTGACAGTGTTCTGTCCTTTGCTGTAAATAAAGACAGGAGCAGAGGGATCTAACCCTTTCCTCCTCCTCTATCAGCCTCTGTCACGTTCAGTGGCATGCTTCTTGTAAGTCTGTATGTGAAAGCCCCGTTTCCCAGACTTACACCTGCCTTGGGGTTTTTGTTTGTTTTCTGTGCATGTGGAATTTGCTGTCAGTCACAGAGCCTTGTACCAGGTATTCAAGGCCCTCTGGTTCTTACTCCTATCTTACTCCAAAATGTTTTCTCATCAGGAGAGGAATAAATTCAAATTCTTTTGAAGATTGTATTATATATTTCCAATTAGTCACTGAATCTCCCTGTGATTATATTTTCCCAGGCCACTGACATCAGTTTTAGCATATAACATGCTTTGGCCAGATGTGCTCTCAGTGGAAGTAACATGTGCCATGTCTGAGCAAAGGTTTGAGGAGCCATTCTCACGGTTCTGCCATTATTCTTTCCCCCTTGTCCATGAGAATGGTCCATCCTAGGCAGGGGCTGCCCCTGCGGCCTGGATCCCAGAGCTGAGAAGACACATGGAGTATAGGCCAACTGCAGCTGACAAATAAAAGGGAGAAGTAGAACTATGTAGTAAGTAGGAAGTAAGTGAAATTTTGGGAGTGTTTGTCACCACAGCACAATCTAGCAAAAGCTGACTAATAAATACTTGCAAGCATGGGACAGGGGAGGTACCTGAGCGAAGGGGCCAGCTGGTGACTGCATCAACGTGGAACACTTGCTCTCATCTAAAGGGTATAGTAGTGATTCAGCTTCAAGTGATTATTGCCTCCTCTTGGGGATGTAGGCTCATTGCTATTGACATACTCATTTTTAAGATATTACCAGGAATCCAGATTTTCGTGTGAATGCTACCAGTGTTTTAATGTTCACACTAAATCCAGGCCAGCTAATACACGTTCTACAGCCCCAAAGTGGGCATCAGATTCCATTTTTTCTTTTTGTAACTTCTGTTCTATGCTAACCTACCACTCTCACAAAACCAATGTATTTCTTGTTCTCCATCACTACTTATATTTCCTCCTTCCTGCTGTTACCCATACTGTACCCTCCCATCCTCCCACTCTTCTCCAAAATGCTCCCAAATTCAAGTCCTTCGCCAAGTTCTCCTTCCCCTGTTTCTGCAACCTGGATCCCTGTCCATGAACTGACAGTCTCTATGGTATTTTGCATCTTGCCTGATCCTCTGATGTCATTTATTTTTTTTATGCACATACTTCACTCTTTGAGAGTCTACAAGCCCAGGGAAATAGAAACCATAACTTAGACATTTTGGCATCCTATTGCCTCATAGACATAAAAGACACAAAATTAATGTTGTTTTAACACAGCTTGTCACTTGTCTGCTTTGAGGTTTTTGAAAACAAAGGATGAAATCCAGAAGGAGCCAGATTCTAGACACTTATATGCCTATTTTTTTCATACTAAAGAGTATAGCTCACTTAAAAACAACACAAAACAAAACAGGTTTGAATGCTGCGCACACAAATCTCGATAACATCTGGGCTTCTTAATAGATTGAGTTCTGTCTGCTGTGATATACTCAATTAGGGAAATAATGTCAGGGTTAATCCAATTCACCAGGGATTAAATTTTGTATTAGCCAAACTTGTAAGACACCTGGTATAACTTGTTTTATGCCTCAGCACCCGAAAGGGGTGACAGCATTTGGCTGAGTTTTTAAAGAAGGACATTGAACTCTCTAAGCTGTTGAGTCATCCTTTCCAGCCCTTTATGGGGCTCTGTTATGCACCATGACATTGCAGTGTTTTTGGTGAGCCTCAGTATAAGATTTTGGAATAAACAAATAAATTAATAAAATGCTCTAATACTGCAGTTGTTATTTCTCTAGCTTAGAAAGATTAAATTCCCACCACCAGGCCCTGTCCTCTTGTCATCCACATTGGTTTAACTCCTATAATTTTTACCTCTTATGAAGTAATTCTCTTCTAATACTTCTAATTTTGCTAAGACCCTAATGTAAACACTACGAGAATCTAGTTCTTTAATTGGCAAGTACTTAAAAGTGTTTTGTTATATTTTTAAAGTGAGTTGTTCAGTGCAAAATGTGAAAAAGGCCCAAATAACACCCAAAGGTATTAAGCCAATTACTGGAAGATATAAGACCAGATCTGTGCTAGGAGAATAATATCAGAGTCAAAACAAATCACTTGGAAGTGAATCACTTCCCTTTGGCAACTGAAATTAATTTAAACAACTCCCCTCCAACCCCCTGTGGTTTTGTTCGACATTTCTTTCAAATGCCAATGAGTACCTCACTTTGTCAAATTAGACAAATCCAAGCTGCTGGTATTATGCTGCTTGGAAGCCATATGGCCGTATGTCTAGGATGTTCCAGGACACCCTGATTTCATACAATTTTAATATTTTTAATAAAGGCAATTTGTTAAATGTATAACTAAGTATGAAGTCATTTTATGTATTTGCAAAACTTCATATAATTAAATCCACAAGTAAGAAAATGCTCTTTATTACCATTCAATTCAATCCAACCAACATTTACTGGCTATGACACATCAGTCCCTAAATTAGATCAAAGGGACCTAGAGATGAATATGACATAATCCCTGCCCTCAAGGATCTTACAAGTTAAACAATAATTACAATTTGGTGATTCATGTGTAACAATCAAAATATGTTCCAACCACAAGGGATCGTAAGTGAGAGTAATTAACTTCCTTTAGTCTGGAGGTGGGAAGGTGGCCAAGAAGGATTCCCAGAAGGAGTGACACCTGGGCTGGGTTTTAAAGCATGAGTAGGAGTTCATTATGTGCACCAGAAATAGATCTTGGCATTCCAGGCAAAGGAAGTACCTTGATGTGTCCTGACTTCTTGCTTAGCAAAACTGGATTACCCTGTAGCAACAATAGAACCAAGAGCCTAAAACAAAGCTATTGGCCTAATGATGTATATTATAGTTCAGAAATGCCTCTGAAAATTTAGTTTTGGTTTAAAATATTTTCTAGCTAGCCTCAGTTGGGAAGAAAATTTATTATTGAATGCAGGTTTTTTTGTTTTTTGTTTTTTGTATTTTTTTTTAAGTAGAGATGGGGTTTCACTATGTTGGCCAGGCTGTTCTTGAACTCCTGACCTCGAGTGATCTACCTGCCTCGGCCTCCAAAGTGCTGGGATTATAGGCATGAGTTACCACACCTGGCCAGCTTTTTGAAATTTCCTTATTTTCCCTGCAATGTGATTTTTTCTTCTAAAATTCTTTTTCTTGTTTATTTTGTTTTTGGCCTTTAAAGCTAGAGGATTTTCTCACATGTCTGGCAGTCAACTCATATTTAAGAATGAGGCATTAAAAATCTGATTGAAAGTTTATATGCATGAGCAGGGATTATTAATGAGCTAACCATAGGAAACTACTATTCTTCAAGAGACTACCACCCACCTCCCTCAGTTTCTGTAGGGTTTTTTGTGGGGAGTGGATGGTTAATTTCTCTAATGGGGAATCTTCTCAGTTTCTTCTGGGAGCGGTGGGTGACCCAAGATATATGTCTAGCTGATAGCATTCTGGAATTCAGGCAAGAAATATGATGATTCTTACCTTTCAGTAGGCAGACCTATTCCTCTGTTTTCACCATGCCAGGTCTTCCCTCCTTTAGCAGGGCCAGGTTCCCCTAAACTCAGAGATTCTCTGCTTCCACCTCTAGGCAGTAAACCACCTCTCTGCTCTTGGGGTGAGAGAACGTCACAGCTGCATAGACTGAGCAGAGAGACCTAGCGATCTGACTGCTCCTTAGAATTTCAACCAATGCTCTAGTCGAGTTCCATCCCACATTTAAATCTTTAGAAATACCCGCAGTCTTGAATTGCTGGATTCTGTCAGTAGAAGAAGCATGCTCATTTAATGAATTTGCTGTTGCTAAGTCAGAAACCACTTATTCTTTCATTGTCCCTCTTCCAAAGCTTTGTTGA